TGTTCATTGCAGCACTATTTGCAAGAGCAGAGACATGGAATCAACCTAAATGCATATCAGTGATAGACTGGATACAGAAAATGTGGTACACATACACCATGGAATACTATGCAGCCATAACTAAGAAGGAGATCATGTCCTTTGCAGCAACATGGATGAAGCTGGAGGCCATAATTCTAAGTGAACTAATGCAGAAATAGAAAACCAAATGCTGCCTAGTCTTACTTATAAGGGGGAACTAAACAAGGAGAACATATGAATACTAGGAGAGGAGCAACACACACTAGGACCGACTTGAGGGTGGAGGGTGGGAGGAGGGAGAGGATCAGGAAAGATAACCTATTGGGTACTACGCTTATTACCTGGGTGACAACATTATGTGTATACCAAACCCCTGTGACACATAGTTCACCTATATAACATACCTGCACATGTACCCCTGAACCTAAAATGAGGGTTAAAAAAAAAGGCTGGGTGTGGTGCCTTACACATGTAATCCCAGCACTTTGGGAGGCCGAGCCGGGCAGATCTCCTGAGGTCAGGAGTTTGAGACCAGCCTGGCCAACATGGTGAAACCCTGTCTCTACTAAAAATCCAAAAAAAAAAAAAAAAAAAATTAGCCAGATATGGTGACACATATCTGTAGTCCCATCTACTCAGGAGGCTGAGGCTGGAGAATCATTTGAACCTTGGAGGCGGAGGTTGCAGTGAGCAGAGATTGTACCACTGCACTCCAGCCTGGGTGACATAGCAAGACTCCATCTCAAATAAATAAATAAATAAATAATAAAATTTAAAACAAGAAAGAAAAGGGGTTAAGTCCTAAGCCCCAGTACCTTAGAATGTTACTATGTTTGCAGACAAAGCCTTGAAAGAAGAAATTAAGGTAATTGAGTTTACATGGGTAGGCCCTAATCCAGCATGACTGCTGTCCTTATAGGAAGAGTAGATTAGGACACAGACACACACAGAGGGATGACCATGTGAGAACACATCAAGAAGACAATCATTCACAAGCCAAGGAGAGAGGCCTCAGGAGAAACCAACCCTGCCAATACCTTTATCTCGGACTTCTAGCCTCCACTGCGAGAAAATAAATTTCTGTTGGTTATGCCACCCTGCCTGTAGTATTTGTTACAGCAGCCTGAGAAAACTGATACAGACTCCTCTGTATAATATTTTAAATGTACAAGATACAATTCAGAGAATGATAAAGGAATCTATTTTATTAAAATCCATATTAAATTGTAATTATGGAAGCATAATCTATATGCTTCTTTATTAGCTCCTTAGTAAAGTAGCCACAGGAAACTAACAGGGCCATGCAAACACACTTCAAAATACAAGCATTGCAGAACTTCAAAGTTGGAATCCAGTTAGCCTGATAAAAAGAAAAATGATGTCTAATTTCCACTCTCTATACTTTTAAGGAGATATGGCTAGTAAGAAAAACAACACAAAATAATTAAACCTCTCCTATTAGATATTTATCTTACAAGTAACCTTCTAGGGAAAACCCTGGTATGAACAAATCCAAGCATTATGAACCTGATCAATGACATCGAATCATTGTTGAGTTCATTTTTGGAATCTAGGTAGAACACTGCAAGGTGCTAGATGTAAACAGGTCCAGTTGTTTGGTTTGCTCTAAATCAGCAGCAGGGAGGCACTGCTCTGACACAAGACAGGTAGGAGAAAAGGTGGGGAAAGCATGCAGGTTTCTTTGTTAGGAATGTGTTCAAAGGAGGGTTGGAGGTTCTCCCACTGATACCACCTCTGTGAGGCTCTTCTCCTCTTTTTGTAGTGACAGCAGAGATGGCTATAAGTCAAACTACCCCAAAAAAGCATTTGTACACCAGCCCATCCACCACGTTCATTAAGCACTTAGGGTGAGCAGAGTTACAGGTGTGCAGTGATGGAGGCTGGAGGTACAGGGACATTTTTGATGTGACTCCAGCCCTCCATGATGGTGTTATACAATTGGACCCAGTATCCCTTGTGTGGACCAATCAGAAAGCAACTGACTATCTGAGAGCAGCAGAGGACCCAAATCTCCTTGGAGGAATAATTCCCTTCGTCAAGGGTACCCACAGGGGAGCTGCAATCCCACATCCCTGGCACCCTGTGGCTCACGGACATGGGGCCACTTGTCTGTTGCAGGGGTGACAGGTGATCTGTCACTGCTCTGTAAGGCCAGGCGTGGGCTCACCAAGAGATGACCTCGCCCCTTATGTTGCCCACCTCCTGGACAATCCGTGACACAGGCCAGCCTTTGGAGGGCGCTTCCTCCTGTCCGTCCCTTGCTGGGGGAGCAGGAAGGCTCCTGATTGCCACCCAGACACAGAAGTCGAGCACAGGGAGTGACATCAGCCTGGGGCATTGATCCCCTTGGTAGATGCCTCGACAAACCTGTACCCATCAGAGACAGGGCCAGGGCCAGGGCACTAGGGGAAACAGCAGTCTCCTCAGCTTCGAATCAGTTATTGATGAGGACTTCATCACAAATGCAGAATTACATTCTGAAATGTTCATTCTTTTCAACACAAAGCTTTAAAGTATTACAATTTGAGTTCCAGTTAAGACATGACTCTGTAGTACCACTGTGGCAAAAGGTTCAAGTCCAAAAGGACCCACGGTTTTTTTTTTCTTTAATATTTTATCTTTTATATTGAGATGTAACACTGTACCTTCTATGGTTAGGTGCTCCAGTCTTCAGTGTACCATCCAATAGCCTCTTACATATGTCTACAGCCTTGCAACCACCTCCCAGAACAACATCTATGACATTCCCAGGCCCCAGCAGGCTTCCCAACCTTCATTCTCTTTCAATACGAATCCCCAGTCCTAGAGGTAACTGCTATTCCGACTTCTAGTACCATGTGTTACTGAGCTTCAAATAGATGGAATCATACAACATGGACTCCTTGAGATCTGCTTTCTTCTGATTAACATTATGTCTGTGAAACATCCTTGCATGGGGCAATAGCTTATTTTTTCATTGCTATATACTATTCCAATTTATTTAGTTCATCCTACTGTTGACAGACATTTATCGTTTTATGTTTGGGGTTATAAATAAAGGTGCTAGGACCTTTCTCATACGTGTCTCTTGGTGGCCACAGCCCTCATATCTCTTGAGAATATGACCAGGAATTGCTGGGCCATGGAGACATAAATGTTTAGCTGTAGTAGATACTACCAAACTGTTTTCCAAAACTGAACCAATTTCCACTTCAACCATCAGTGTATGAGAGCTCCCACTGTTCTCTACCATTGCCAACACTTGTTGTTGTCAGTGTTTTTAATTTTTGCCATTCTAATGGGTGCATAATGGTATCTTACTGTGGGTTTAATTTGCATTTTTCCATTGGCAATTAATGCTGGAGTGTTTTTTCATACGCTTATCAGTCACTTGGATAGCTTCTATTGCAGGGACAAGCAAATCGTTTTCTAAGGGGCCTGATAGTAAATATATTTGGCTTTGCGGGTCTTATGGCCTCTGTCCTAACTACTCAGTTTTGCTGTTGTTGAGCAAAAGCAGCCGTGGACAATGTGTGAATGAATGGGCTAGGCTGTGTTCCACCAAAATTTATTTATAAGAAACAGGCTGGGGCAGGGGGTGGATTTGGCTGCTGGAGACTTGATCGGTGGCCCATGCTATATTGTAATATGCCTGATCAAGATCAAGACTTCTGAACATTTTAAAATTAGGTTGTCTTTTTAAATTGATTTTTACAAGTTATCTGTAAGTTTTGAATCCATTTTGTATTCTTAATCATTTATAATTTTCTGAAAATTGAAGGAAACCATGGTTGTTATATTGTACCATTCCTATAGCTTTTGCTTTCGTTGTTTCTACCATAGGCCCCTAAGAGATGAGATCACTGTTGTCACAGGAGCTTCCTTCTGATAGGTGGACCCAAGAGAGCTGTCTTCTGCCGTTTTCTCCCCTGGGTGACCATGTGGCAGCCCAGCTCAGAAAACTGGGCCTCTGCCTGTATCTCTTGAGGAATCTTGCTGCCTAGGACAGGTTGGGTAAAAATGGTCCTGACTTGTTGGAATGGACACAGCTTCCAGAAAGAATATAATCTTAGCGTTCACAATGTATATGTCATTGGGAATTTTTTGAATTGAGTGAAATCTTCCAGTCCAAAGATGGTCAAAATTGTAGGAGCTGGTAAGAACTCCTTTTCCATTATTAAACAAACGCTTTTTGGGTTGCACATCAGCTAATAGTGTGATTGAGGAGAAACTGTCTCCTCAATTAGCTGGCTCAGTAGCAAAATGATTACTGCCTTTACATTGCAAAACCTTTCTTCCTACGTAAGCACCCCAGGGGAGCAAAAGCCATGTGCTACGGCATACCAGGAGCTGTGGTGATTGCTTTGCTTGCTCACTTAAGCAAACATCGTCTCATTTTGCAGCAAGGAAATTGAGGCTCAGAGTAGTTAAATAAGATGATCAAGATCAGAGATGAAATAATTGGACAAACCAAAAGTGCTTTAGTCCAAAATCCACAATGTTCCCCATGAGGCCATACTGAGGTTTCTCCTTCATAGGAAGATGGGGCTGGAAGGGCTGTTGTTGGAAAAATGGTTAAGGCCCCTCACTTGATGGATGAACCTCCAGGCCTAGAGGGAGTTTAAGGACTCATTACTCAGGGTTCCCTCAGCAAGCTAGCAGGAAAGCTTGGATGAGAACCTCGATTTCTACATCCAAAGTCTTCATTACTCCTTTTCTTTATTTAAATAATTTTGACTTTACTATATCAGCCATCATGTAAGCTAAATAAAAACAACATTTTTCAGTCTCTTTTTTTTTACCAGTATACCTAGTGTCTATCTATAATAGCAATGAACAATTGAGATGTTTCATTTGTTGAATAAATGAAACATAAGAAAATAAGTAACAAGTAGTTCAATTATGTCCTGCAAAGAAGTTTTGATGCTCTTCCTGCCTATCCCTCCCTCTCAAGTTTCTACTTAAGACAGAGAGGGTAGATCCTTTTGTAGTTCATAAGCGTGATGCTTGAGTGTTCATGTGCATGTGTGAGATGTGCCTCCCTCAAACTTGTTACAATGTGGGCACATTATCCATCCAACGTGGAAAAAAAAGACAGAGAGGGTCCTTGGATACCCAACACCAGCCAGGACCCAAGTCCAAAAGGAAGTTCACATTATTAGACCTTTTTACCTTGTTCATTAAAAAGAATTGGTAACTATACAATAATTTGTTTCCTTTACAGATACTCTAATTAAAAAGAGACATACTAAAATATGGAAAATTCTGCTTGTTTCATCCTACTTGGCTTTAGAATGTCAATTATCCCTACTTTCAATTTCATCCATTTCCAAATATACAGCTTCTTAGAAATGTAGGGAAGCTGTTCTCTGCCTGTAAACATGAGATTTGTCAATCCTTCTATTGTTTATTATTGTATAATTGCAACATCACTTCTGAAGAAAGGACTTTCAGGACCGATAAATTTGGTCATGTCATTTTTTTTCTAGCAGCATTCTGCTTCCTTATGCATTTTCTTATTTCATACCAAGCTTGGTTTATGGGGAGTTTGGGTTAACAGAGCTCTTAAGGGTAATTAGTGTCCAATTAGTGTCCACTTAGGCCAAAGTTTCATGTCTGTGTGAGTTTTTTAACCTCTGGGAAGAATTAAGTAAGTCGGGACTCTGTTTACAAAGCAATTCTGTCTGCCCTGAGCAGTTTATGAGTAATATTCCTAGTTGCTAGATGACCAGACAAAGCAACTCAAAATTTTTTGTTGACCCTTGTAGCTAGTGAAAAGATCAAGACTGACTGCCCAGTAATCTAGATCCTTTCTTTCTGTGCTTGTTCTGTGGGAGTTTCCATAGCCTACAAGTGTCACCAAGAAGCTTCATCCAGACCCAAAAGGAAGGTTACAACACTGCTTTTTGGATGAAACGGTCATGACATTGTCCTTTCCATCATCAGCCCTACTTCAAATGACTAACCCGGAATGAAAGCCTCTCTACTAACATGCATCCATACCTGATTTGTTTCTCCCAGTTTTGTATTATAAAAATTTTCAAAAATACAGAAAAGGTAAAATATAAAAGAATAACATAATAAACATTTTTATATTCACTACTTAGTTTCAACAACTGTTGACATTTCGCTGAGCTATTTGAAAACGAGTTGCACTTTATCTAGTATTTCTGCATGGGTCTCTTGAGAATAAACACATTCCAATACAAGCAAGGTAACATTATGACAGAGGATTTATCCATTTCATTTAGGTTGTTGAAGTTATTGGAACAAAGCAGCTCATAGTATTTCCTATGATCCTTTTAAAGTCTATAGGATCTGTAGTGATGCTCCTCTTTTATTCCTAATGTGGTCATTTGTGTCTTCTTTCTTTTTTTCTGGATAAGTCTAGTGAGAGTTTTATCAATTTTATTGATTTTTTTTTTTAAAAAAACAACCAGCTGCAGGATTCATTCATGTTACTATCATTATCATTATCATCATCATCATTATTATATTTTAGTTTTTATTTCATTTATTTTTACTTTTATGTTTATTGTGTCTTCTTTCTATTGAGGGTTTAATTTTCTTTCTTTTACTTGTGTTTTCTACATCTTAAGATGAAAATTTAGATTTTTAAAATCTGTATCCCACACATTTTGATATGTTGTGTTGTAATTTTTAATTAATTCAAACAATGAATTTCATACTTCAATGAGAATATCATGAATAAACTTGCATTAAATGAGCAATTCTTTTTGTGAAATTCAAATAAATCTCTAATAGCCTTTTTGAGATATAACTAACACACCATGAAATTCATCTTTTTAAAGTGTATGAGTCAGTGATTTTGAGTATATTCACAAAGTTGTACAATTACCAACGTTATCTAATTTTATAACATTTTCATCACCCCAAAAAGAAACACCATACCTATTAGTAGCCACTTCCCATTGCCCCCTCCACCACAATCCCCTGTCAAGCACAAATCTGATTTCTATCTCTATAGATTTACCTATTCTGGACACTTAATATAAATTGAATCATGTAATATGTGGTCTTTTGTGACTGGCTCTTTTCACTTAGCATCATGTTTCCAAGATTCACTCATGCTCAACATGAATCAGTACTTCATTTATTTTTATTGCTAAATAATATTTCAGTTAATAAATATACCACATTTTATTTATCCATTTATTAGTTGATGGATATTTGGGCTGTTTCCACTTATTTGCTATTATGAATAATGCTACTATGAACAATAATGTGTGAATTTTTGTGTGGATGCATGTTTTTAGTATTCTTGGAGAAGAATTGCTGAATTATATGGTAACTCTATGTTTAACTTTTGGAAGAACTCCTAAACTGTTTTCCAAATTGACTGCACTCTTTTATTCCCATCAGCAGTGAATGAGAGTTCCAATTTCACCATATCCTTGACAACATTTATTATTGTCTGCCTTTTCTTTTTGAGCTATTCTAGTGGGTGTAAAGTGATATCTCGTGGTTTCCATTTTCTGACAGGCTAATGATGTTGAACATCTTTCATGTGCTTATTGATCGTTAGTATTTCTTCTTTGCAGTAATGTCTGTTCAAATGATTTGTCTGCTTTTAATTGGGTTGTCTTTTTATTGCTGAGTTGCAAGTGGTATCATTTATATATTCTGGATACAAATCCCTTATCCGATATGTGATTTTTAAATATGTTGTCCCATTTAGTTTTGGTGAAGTTCCATTCACTGATTTTGTTTTGTTTTGTCCCTTGTGTTTTTGGTGTTGTATCTTTAAAAGCTATTGCCTAACTCAAAATCACAAATATTTACTCTTGTGTTTTCTTCTAAAAGTTTTATAGTTTTAATTTTTACCTCTAGGTCTTGGGTATATTTTCAGGGATGTTTTCAATGTATGGAGTGAAGAAGTGGTCCTCCATCATTCTTTTGAACATAGACATCCAGTTGTTCTAGCACCATTTGTTGAAGTTATGCATCATTTTTGTCTAGAAAAAAAATTTCCAGCATGTAAATAAGTGACTTCCAGATTTTATAAAATCATAGGACATCACCTCTAGAATTCTGCTTATAGGTAACTTATTCCAAATATCCTTAAACAGGTTAGTTAATTTACCCAAAACTATCCCTGCATCAATTCTGTTCCCAACTCATGTACCCAGAATCTGTGCCAGCTTAGAAACCATGTGGCTCATCTTCTACTGCATTGGTGGTCAGAATCCACTTCTCCTTTTTTTCCCCACACACTTGTATTTTCACTCAAGACTAAAATTCTCAAAAATCTAGTGGGTATGGTGAGTTGTGGTGTGGAAGGTTTGGAGAGAGATTGCTGGTGACACATTTCATTTAAGAAAATAAAGTTTTGTGGGGGAAGATGCAGAAAGGAGGAGCCCTAGAGTTGGTATAAGAAGGGACTGCAATTTTAAAAAAATCTTTCTTTAGGATAGAGTCCCAGAAAATCAGTGACATGATGAGAGACCCACTCATTTACAGTGAAGCCACCATGGATAAAGGCCTTCTGGACCTTGGATTTGAGATGTGGGTATTCCATCCAGCACTGAGATTGTTTAGTGCAGCAGATTTTTCACTGGCTCATTCTGCTGCCATTCTCACTTCCTTCTACTGAACCTTCTAATATAACAGATGCCAGGAGACTAAAAACCCTACTTAGTACTTAGCAGAGCCAAGATTTTGCATGTGGCTTAGATTCTGCCAAGGAGATGTCCACATGAGACCAGGAGGGTGTGAGCAATGGGAGCCAGTGGCCATGGTTCATGATAGATACGTTGGTTCTCTTGGTGCAGGTCTGGCAGTTTCTGAAACTAGATTCCTAGAAACTTAGGTACTGAGCAGTAGGCAGCAGCAACAGAAACAGTTCCATAGGTGGTTGGGCATTTCCTTTGATTGCTGTATTTTTGATTATGTGATAATTAAACCTTAGGCCCTGAGCCTCACTGAGATTCTGTAAGGTTCATCATTCCATCTGATACATCACTTTCTTCTCAGATCAAATAGAGTGCATTCTGCTTTCTTCCACTATGAGCCTTGACCAATATAACCAGTGATCTAATCAACTATGAAAGGGCAATTAACACATTTTTCTCTAGTGTCAAGTCTAGATAAATATTCCTTTTGTAAAGAATGAATCTGAAAGAAAAAAATCAATACAGTCCTGATTTGAATAAAAGATTCAAAAAGTTGAAAGAATCAGTATCCCTGAAGACTAAGAGAAGCACAGAGACTTTTCAAAATTATTTATAGAAAAACCAGAAATAAATTATTTTGGAAAAAATTTTCCATTCTCAATAGAATACAAGAAGGCAATGCCTCCACGCAATAAGATCAGTGAATCAAGCTGTGATCAAAGAGAAGCAGTTATGAGATTTAAAAACATGACGATGAGCCAAGACCATAAGGAGAGAAAAAGGTTCTGTAATTTTATGCTATAACACAAACTTTGCAAGGTTATGGCACCCAGATATTTGGTCAAACACTAGTCTGGATGTTGCTGTGAACATAGCTTTTGGGTAAGATTAACAATGAAATCAGGGGATGTTAAGTAAAGCAGTTTATCTTCTATAACATGGGTGGGCATCCTCTTATCAGTTGAAGGCCTTAAGAGAAAAAGATGGAGGTTCCCCACCCAAGGAAGAAGGAATTCTACCTGCCATCTGCTTTTGAACCAGAGCTGCAACATTAACTCTTTCTGGGTCTTTAGCCTGCTGGCCTACTATGCAGATTTTAGACTTGCCAGTTTCCAAGGTAACATGAGCCAATGTCTTTAAATAAGTCTCTTTCTCTCTCTCTCTCTCTCTCTCTCCATCTCTCTCTCCTCTACATCCACACCCACACACCCTATTGGCTCTGTTTTTCTAGAGAACCATCACTAATAAAAACAGCATATAGTTTAGTCTTATATTTTTGTAGTCTGATCATTTCTACCTTTTAGTTTAGATGTTCACTCCATCTACATTTATGTAATTAATTATCTGATGAGGTTTATATCTGTCAAGTTCTTATCTGCTTTCTATTTGTCTCATCTGTTTATTATTCTGCTTTCTCCAATCTGCTCTTAAGGAAAATAATTGAATTTTTCACCTCAGGCATTTTTAGTTCTATAATTATTTCTTTATGTATATAAATTTATTTTCTCCTGCCAGGATTCCCAGTTGACCCTCATCATGACCCCTTGTTCCTTTATATGTTTGCACATATTTGTCACAGGTGCTGTGCACTCCTTCTCTCATAACTCCAAACTTTTGGTCTCCTTAGAAGTGGTTGCTAATGATGGCTTTTCTTTTTATGAGTCCTATTTTTCTATTTCTTCACATGTCTAGCAATATTTTCTTTTATCATGGGCACTGTAAATGTTTTGTTTTAGAGACTCGGTCAGAGTGCTGAGTTCTGCCTTAGAGTGTGAAGTTGGCTGCCTGTCTGGCGGGGACTACAGTCGATATCTCCTATCAATTCCCTCTGTCCTCCATCTGCTGCCTCCTTCTAGGACCCTTGACATTTTCTACACGCATGCGCAGTTTATGCGTGTGTAGTCAGCCAGGAACTGGGCAAAGTTTGCACACAGATTTGGAGGATTCCCCCTCCTTGATATCCTCCTTTTTGGCATTCCTACCCACCTCACGCTCCAGTTTTTCCAGTTATGAACTCCATACTCTGACTTCTCAAACAAGGAAGACTGCATATTTCTGCAGGAGCTCAGCCACTTCATCTTGTGCAGACAGGGCTGTGTTCTCAGGTGAAACGCCCTGCTAAATCTTTTACGTACAGTGCAGTTTTCTTTGTTGAAGGCTGACTCTATTCCACATTCAGCCTGCATTTCTTCCTTCTTCTGTGCCTTCAAAGAATGTTTTAAACTTGGCTATAGTTTACAGTTGTCACCTGTGAGAGGATTAGTATGATACAAGCTTCTTTTTCATTTCCAGAAGTAGAATGCTGCAGGTTTTAATTACACCCAGTTTGAACTGTTGCTTAACATTAGACTTAAGTTCCCACATTTGAATGTTATACATATCATGATGCAGTTTCCAGCATCTGTGGTTAGCGTGGAGTACCTATGATTCTCAGGAATTCTAAAAGCTCATTTCATTCCTATGCTCTTCACTATGAAAGGGGAGGGAAAATGATTTATTGCTAGACCCTATGTGTGTACTATCACCCTTTCCCATCAACTTTTTTTTGTTTTGTTTTTGAAGGAAGTGAGAATAAAAAGCTTGACCTTGTTTCGTCTTTTAGTGATCATGGGAATTTTCAGCTGCATTCACAAACCATGAAGGAACATGAGGCAAACTATTGTGTTCAACCTGACCATAGGGAATGTAGTATAGTGGTTAGGAGAGTGAGCTCTGAAGCTGGATGCCTGAATTTCCATGCTGTTTCCACCTCTACCTTGTCAATTGGAAGAGTTATTTAATTCTCCTGGGCCCATTTCCTCATCTGTAAAATTATTTCACTCAACAATCTGGACATGATGACAATACCTATTTCTGTAGGTTTTTGGGTGGATTACATGAGTTAGAGCAACGTCTGGTGCATATAAAGCACTCGGTAAATATGAGTTGCTGCTGTTTTCATTGTCATTCTTATCACTGTCACCAAATGCTGCCTAACTGAAGCAATGTGGTTTCCCTCTTCTGCAAGTCCCAGTTTACTTCATTCTGAATTGTGGAGGCTAGTGTCCACTGTTGAGGTCTCCTCACTCTTTCTCTGTCCAGAAGAGAAACACATGGACCCCTCTGATATTGTACATAGTGGATAGAATAAAACCTAGGAATCAGACAGGCCAGCATTAGAATACTGTTTTGAATGCTTACCAACTATGTGAAAAAATGGCCTTGCTTCTCCTGAAGCTTGTTCCCTGTGAAATGAGTAGTAAGTACATCTACTTGGGGGTTGGGGGAATATTAAATAAAATGAAATATGCTGAGTCCTGGACAAACTGATGTGTTTAGTCAAGGGAGTATAATTCTGGCATGATCCAGGGTTAGAGACATTGCCCCTGGGCTGGATGGCGGCCATCGCTCATTACTTAAGCTCAGGGAGACTCTTCCTCGAAGCATGCCCCTTGAAAGCCTCCCAGGATCCCTGGCAGGATCCCAGTTTTGGCTAATTAGGACCAAAAGCTCCATACACTCCCTGCTTCCTAAGGACATTGGCAAATAGCCTTAAGACATGTAGTTTTAACCCTTTCTCTCTTCTTCCTGCAAGGGCAGTCCCATTCAGTCCTACCAGGATTGTTTATTTCATTCAAGTTCTCTTGTACCCCTCGATTTAGGCCGTCATCTGGCCCTGCTACCTGCCACTCTCCTCTTGGTATCCCCTCACCATTCCTACTTGCCATAGTTTAGTCCAGGCCCAAACCATCATCCCTTTGGACTATTGCAGTAGCCTCATCAGGTAACCCTCCTAATTTCTGACCTTCTGTTACACCGCCTCCAGGGTAGCCTTCCAAAAGCACTACAGTATAATCCTGACAGCTTCTGTTATTCAAAGACAACACTGCATTTCTATCATTGGGATTATAAATGAAACTATCAATCTGAGAGAGAAACTTGAGTCTATCAGGGACTCTTTTTTTCCTGTCAGTCCAAAATCTGAGCTTCCTGCTATGTCCCTCAGTGCCCTTTATGACTCAGTCTCTGCTGATACTGCAGCTTGGTCTCTTGCCACTCTCCGCATGGGATTCTAGGTTCTTCTCATATTAAGCGAGATGGGGGCTCTGGCTTCACCCAGGTATTTTCTGCCTCCGAGTCTTCCCTTGTCAATTTCCCTGTACCTAGATTGTCCTTGCTTCTTGCCTTCAGCCACAGAACACTTAGACACCCAGCTGTTTCAGTTCAGGGCCTCTTGCTTTCAGAAGGCTTTCCTGAGGCCTCACAGACCTAAGTGTCCCTCCCGTCTTCATGCACAGACACCAGGACCCTTCCATGCAGGTCCTAGAGTCCATTTCGGTTGTCCCTTGAATTGTCTA